TTTATATCTTATTTATTTATGTCCAATATGAAATGGACAATACTGCACCATTCCCTCGGAACCTACTCCATAGAGGGTGAATCGTTTAAATAATCATAACAGAAGTCGAAATATATTTAAATAATGGAACATTGGCTGAGGGTATACATCTGTGAGCAAAACCGACTGATACACCCTCACCAATTTTCTTGTATATCTGGTAAGCCGTTTTTGGGTTATAAATAGTGTAGCTTATATGACTTTCTCTTATATATAGATACAAAACTGTATTGTATAGCCCACATCGTCGATACAAAATTTTAGAATTCTTGTAGCCAAAAACAAATATAAGATTTTTTTTCTTGTGAATCCAATTAAGTAATTGAATCTGAACCCATGTTCACAAAATCCGTTTGTTCGTATTTTCCTACGTATGTAACGAACGCATTGCCTTCTTCAATATTTATACGCCGAATGATTGGCCTTTTTAAAAATGCAGCAAATTCAAATTATCGCATTTAATATTTATAATTGAAATAAAAAAAAGTTAAACGTCACCTAAATACACGTCTATTCCAATCGCCGACCACCTCGGGACACAAAGTACACTTCACAGCCCAGCAAACGTTTCAAAACAAAGCACAAAGTTCTGAAATCCACTCACTAATCAAAATCGAATGCAAGCAAACATTGTCATATTATGACATTCATTAAAAATATTTGAAAAAAAATATATTTTTTTTTAATATTTTAAAATTATATTATTTTTTAAATTAGAAAAAAAAAACAATGTTTACGAAGGAGCTGGAAAATAATGAAATCCGATTTTACGCAATCAGTATTAAAATATATTGTTTTGAACTGGATATGTTGGAGTCTAATTCATTTAATCTGTTAATTGTTGGGTTCGAAGCCCAAAATATAATCTTTCGTGGAATAAAATAAAAAATCTTATTTTTTTACGAGCTTCATGATCTGAAATTTGCAGTGAAAATTAAAGCCAGAGAGACACTATCACATACGCACTGCTATGGTTCTGCTGCAGTTAGAACCATCTATATTAGTTTCGATATTAAGTTCGAAATTTCACAGGATATAGATATTCCACTCTCCCATCTGGATAATAAATTCTGTAAAGCTTTGGTAGGACTGGCGTGTTTTTAGTATTTTCAATTTCAGTACTGATCTCTACCACATTATAGTAGATTCATTTTTTCATTTTTCGCTTTGCAAAGCCAAACTGATAAACTGTGATCTTCGCTGCATTCATACAAATGAATCAGACATCATTTAAATTAATAAATAATGGGAAAATCACACAAAAATAATCAAATTATAATAATTTATTGCATAAATATGTGAATGAATTTCAAACGGAAGTCCAGGTTCAGGTTTTTGCTTTAAGTGAGTCAATTTTCTTATCGGTAAAATGCAATGGCTATTTTTTCAATGATCCGATTTTCGAAAAATAAATAAATAATACGGTGATGATAGCAGATCGAATAAACATGTGTTTAAAAATGCGCGAGTATAAATTAGACTTCTAGTTATGCAAACTTTGTCCGGATTTTTTCCTTTTTTTGGATTTTTTTGAAAATTCATAGAAAGTTTCAGTCGGTGTTCCGACAGATAAGAGTATATACCCCAAAGGACGCAAAATAAAGGAAGAATGTACCACCACTTTTGTGTTAAAAAAAAATACCAAAATTTCCATTCTAACGAAACGCCGAGACGAAATCCAAAATATACATAAGAACTTCTGACTTTGTTGACGAATATAGCCAAATAATGTAGACAAGCAAATCATATAGTTGAGTCTAAATTTGGAGATACAGAGAGACCTCTTGCTTTTGAAGAACAAAAAAAAAACGGAAAAAAATTCTGATCACAAAAATTTAACCAGTCGGCATGACATTTTGCATGAGAAGAGAGTTGAGGATGACCATTGAGTTATATTTAGCTGTAACTAACAGCACGACGCAGTGCGTATATATATTGGCCAGATGTCCCTTGTCAAAAACCTAAGGGTAATATCTGGACAGTGATCTATGACATAATTTCAAAAGCGAAATCTACCAAAATGGATTTGGACACAAGGTGCTTCTAACAAATTGTAGTGTTGAAGGGTATCGCATGGTCGGCCCCGCACGACTATAGCCTAATATATAGTTCGCTCTAATATAAATATGACCATATCGACTCGAGTCTCTTTATGAGATGTATGTACATGATTTTTGGAAAATTTAAAAAAAAATTAAAAAAAATTCTCATTTAATGGAGTTATTATTATTAGCAATATTATTATTATTATTATTATTATTATTATTATTATTATTATTATTATTCTTATTATTATTATTATTATTATTATTATTATTATTATTATTATTATTATTATTATTATTATTATTATTATTATTATTATTATTATTATTATTATTATTATTATTATTATTATTATTATTATTATTATTATTATTATTATTATTATTATCATTATTATTATGTGGATTATGAAAGAATACCTAAAGTAAGTTAAAAAGCAGCCGAACTTTTATCGTAGAAAAATTCCGCTATAATGTTAAAAAATTCCATTAATCAGTTCAGGAAATTGAAGCTGTACGAGCCAATCTTCTACCAGAGAAGGTCGTGCCTATTGCGAACTCTAAGTACTAATTTTGAGATACTTCTGTTGAAAATGTAGCTAAAACCCTTAAAATACCTATTAGATAGATAATATTCTGCCATAGGAAATAGTATCCTCTACGAACTCCCAATACCTACATGTACTAATCTGGCCATGTTTGTCTAGGTCTACTGGGAACACATACCGCCAATTTACACCAAATTCAATTTAAAATTTTGACTAAAAACAAAAAATATCTCTCGGTATCGGTATATGGGGGCTATACAATATCGTGGAGCGATATAGCTCATCTTCGAACTTGACCTGTCTGCAGGCCAAAGACTGATCTGTACAAAATTCTAGATTCCTATCTTAATTCGTTTTGGCGTGCAGCGTGATTACAACAGACGGTCGGACGGACATCGACATATAATTTCATGCTGATCAAGAAAAAGGAAGACACATATATTTGCCTTTTAACATTTTACATCGCAAAGTAGCCTAAATAGAGGAGACAAGTTTCCTTTTTTTCCACATTTTTTTAAAATTTCGGATTAGAATCCTGACATTTTATGTAAATAGAGTCTTCGGCAATATTGCAGGGGCTTATTTGTCTTTTTTTTTCTAAACAAGGTTAAATTATACCTCTAAAACAACTGCAGGAAATCATATATATTAACCAGTGAGGAAAAGTCAAAAGTCGGGCGAGGCCGGCTATATAATACCCTACATGACTATGCATAATTAGTAGAGCTCCCATAACAAAATAATTTATTTCAAGTAGACCATACCACCTATCAATACTTGGCTTAAGAGCAGTTATAGCTTGCTTTAGAGTGCATGATATTACTTAGAGAAGGATTATATTAAAAGATACATATTGGAGCGGAGTTTCACAAAATGGAAGCGTACCTCCCGAAATTCACTCCATTTGGGCTGATATTAGCCATTATTTGCACAATAAACTTAAATTCAGATTAAGGTTATATGTGAGGTACTGAAACACCAAATCGAATGAAACATATATATGGGAGCTAAAGCTGAACCAATTTTCTCCAGTACATGCTTCTGGACTGTATTCGGTCGGATTTACCAAAATTCAAGACTTTTTGACAGATATTGGGCATTTTGTACATAATCACCCCAAAATCGGTAAATGGGACCCATATCCAAATCAGAACCTATCTTGATAAAATTTGTCAAATATATAGCTGGGCTGTATCATTGTTGTCGAATGCGTATTCCGAATATGAGGGACTTCAAAACCAAATCAGATGAAACATATATATGGGAGCTATAGCTATATCTGAACCGATTTTCACTAAATTTAATGTACTTGCTTCTAGACTGAGTTCAATCGTAAATGCCAAAATTCAGGTCATTTGGACTGATATTAGCCATTGGGTGCATATTAAACCTGATATCGGATGAAGATATATATGGGAGCTATATTCTAATCTGCGATCTCGATAAAATTTGACAGAGGTATTTCGAGCAGTATCTGATGTCCGGTACCAAATATCATTCTTCTGGAGTGCATATTTCGCATGTGAGGGACTTAATCCCCAAATTGGATGAAATAAATATATGGGATCTATAGCTGCATCTGACCGATTTTCTCCAAATTTAATATTCTTGCTTCTAGACTGAGTTCAGTCGTAAATGCCAAAATTCAGGTCATTTGGACTGATATTAGCCATTTGGTGCACAATTAAGTCCAAATCGGTTGAAGATATCTGTAGGTATATCAATAGGGTTCGTCCTTGGTGAAAAGAAAATATTTTTTTGCATTCTCCACAAAAATACATGGACGGACGGACTGGTATGCATAAATCGACTCAGATAGTGATTCTATGAAGATCCTCAAAAGTAACTATGGGTCTATCTCCATATCCTTCTCCATGTTACAAACAAATGCACAAAGACATAAAATACCCTTACCACTATGTGGTGTAGGGCATAAAAATCGCATAATGTCTACGATTTAGCACAAAACATACACGTAGTAATATTTATTTGTTCCAACATCACACATCTTAATCGTTTTTTCGTTAATTTCACAAAGTCCCCATATAGACGTAAAGATGTTACGAGAATCCCGTCTGCTAGACATACAGAGTGGGTTAGGGTGTCATGTAGTCGGCAGCGCCAAACTTTTATCCTTTCTTTTCCAGTTTTTTAATTGCTTTCTTACATAGCTGGTGCATATTTAATTATAGGTCTTGCTCATTGGGTCCGTTATTTTCCATAGTATCTGCCACCCACAGCTTTACTTTTTTTTAGACTTATGTTGTGTTGACCTTAATATACGAGTTCACTTTGTGTGGGAATTGTGACAAATGCTGGAACATTTTTATTTTTCACTAATATTTTATACCTATGGCAACTGCTATTCATTGCAAAATTTTCAGTTTCTCTTCAACTGTCCGTGCAAAACCTTTTCCATTATAAGGCCTACGAGATCGTATAAAGACGTGACATTATTTTAGAATGGCAGAAGTAACAAGTACTCTAAATCTTCTATCGTCTGATAATCCCGTATTTTGTTGTTATTGCTTTTGGGCTGGCCTATTGGTGCTGAAAATGCTGCTGATGACGCTATTGACTGCAGCGAGACGATTTTCGAAAAAGGTAATTTGATGCACCCAAGGAACAAGTTTGGACTATATGGGGTATCCGTTTCTTTTCTTTTATAGGATATATGTTTTTTTTTTTTTGTAAATTTTTTTAACTTTTGAAAAGAAAGAATCAAAAAGAGTGGAATTTTCAAACATGCTCTTTCTTAAACAAAAACATTGTAATGTATTTAATTTGTTACCCTTTTTCCAGTCATTTGTCAATCCCGAGGATTTGGCACTGAGCAAAGCAGCAGAAGTTTCATTTCAAGATCCTGATGTAGAACGTGTTCGAAGGTTGGTATTCATTTTCAACTTTGTTGTTCTCATTCTTTTTAACATTTTACATTTTGCATATTACAACAACAACAACCAACCAACAGAGCCCATCGCAATGATTTGGAGAACATTTTACCCTATTTGTTGATTGCCTTGGCCTACATTACAACCGGGCCGAATGCCATTGTGGCACGTTTATTATTTTGCATCGTTGCCATATCGCGTATATTTCACACAGCGATTTATGCCTTTCGACCGGTACCACAGCCATCGCGGTCCATTGCCTTCTTTGTGCCCTTCTTTATAACCCTGTACATGACGTTTTGTGTAATCGTCAAAATGGCCAAATACGTTTAGATATGACAGAGAGGCAGAGAGACAAGCCAAAAAAGATACGATGAGTGGAAATTTTTTCTCATGCTTTGTTTTGTTAAATACAATTCAAATAAAAATCCATGAAATAAATAAATAAACTCTTTGTTGTTTTAATTAACTTCAGTTTGTTTGTTATGGAAGATTTTATTTTGGTTTTAACACCAGGTTCACAAAGTTGCCAAGTTGCTCTTTAGAACCTAAGCATATGTTTGATTAGATATGGATTTGAAAAGCGTAATTGTTTGTGCTTCTAATGATCAATACATGTGTGTGGCAGAATAGAAAAAATTCTCTTCTATAACTTTTTTTTTAATTTTTAAAAATTTATAAAATTATATTTATACCCTCCACCTTGGAAAGGAGGGTATATTAACTTTGTCATTCCGTTTGTAACATCCCTAAATATTCGTTTTAGACCCCATAAAGTATATATATTCATAATCAGCATAAAATTCTAAGTCGATTTAACGATGTCCGTCTGTCTGTCTGTCCGTCTGTCCGTCTGTCTGTTGAAATCACGATACAGCCCACATTATTTGACGTAGAGCTCCAAAATTTAGCAGAGCTATTTGCATTGTGTCTAGGATGGTTGGTATTGAAAATGAGATATATCGGTCCACGTTCTGGTATAGTCCCCATATAACGGTACCTCCCGATATTCGGTATTTTGATGATTTATGTCACATTTTTTCACGGATTTGTCTTAAAATTGGTATTTGTAGGTCATAGCGGGTCCCTGAGCGTGTGGCAAAACATTGCATGTATAGGTCCACGTTGTGGTATAGCCCCCATATAAAGGTACCTCCCGATATTTAGTATTTTAGTTTTTTTTACCACATTTTTTCACCGATTTGTCTAAAAATTGGTATTTGTGGGTCATAATGGTTTCCAGCTCCGGTGGCGGAACATTGCATGTATGGGTCCATAATTTGGTATAGTCCCCATATAACGGTACCTCTCGATATTCGGTAATTTGATGATTTTTGCCACATTTTTTCAGGGATTTGTTCGAAAATTGGTATTTGTTGGTCATAATTGGTTCCAGCTTCGGTGGCGAAACATTGCATGCATGGGTCCATGATTTGATATAGCCCCCATATAACGGTACCTCCCGATATTCGGTATTTTGATGGTTTTTGCCACATTTTTTCACTGATTTGTCTAAAAATTGGTATTTGTGGGTCATAATGGGTTCCAGCTCCGGTGGCGAAACATTGTAATTATAGGTCCACGTTTTGGTATAGCCACCATATAACGGTACCTCCCCATAATCGGCATTTTAATGGTTTTTGCCACATTTCTTCTAATGTTTCTTTTACCCTAAGGTGGAGGGTATTAAAAGATTGGCCCGGCCGAACTTAATTTTTTTTACTTGTTATACCCTCCACCATACATAGTATGGAGGGTATATTAAGTTCGTCATTCCGTTTGTCCCAACAAAGTATATATATTTTATATTATATTCTAAGACGATTTAGCCATGTCCGTCCGTCTGTTGTAATCACGCTACAGTCTAAACGAATTAGGATAGGAAGCTAACATTTTGCAAAGCTCCCTCTTTTGTTTGCAGGCAGGTCAAGTTCGAAGATGATCTATATCGGTCCACGATATCGTATAGCCCCCATATAACGGTACCCCCGATATTTGGTATTTTGATGATGTTAGTCACATTTTTCAATGGAATTGTCTGAAATTCCACACAAGGAGACCCTAGTGGGTACTTTATACCTCGAAAGAGAATTATGTATATAGGTCCACGATATCGTACGTACGTAACTGTACCCCCCGATATTCGGTATTTTGTTACATTTTCAACATTTAGTTACATTTTTCAACGGAATTGTTTGAAATTGTAAACAAGAGATTCTTTGTAAGCACTTTACCCTCTGATAGAGAATTATCTATATATGTTAACCATATCGTATAGCACCCATATAACGGTACCCCCCGATATTCGGTATTTTGATGATTTTAGCCACATTTTCCAATCGTAAGGAGTTCTTTGTGAGCAATTTAACCCTTGAAAGGTAATTGTCTATATAGGTCCATAATATCGTATATCCCCCATATATCGGCACCTTCCGATGTTAGATATTTTATATTTTATATATTTATATATATATTTTAACAAAATTTTTAATGGATTTTATTTTTGAAAATTTTCTAATTCGTTCCAAATGGTGGAGGGTATTTAAAGCCCGGCCCGGCCGAACTTACTGCTACTACTTGTTAAATTTATAATATTATATTTTTTCTATAATTATAAGAATAATCATCGGTGTTATGAATGCACATACCGCAAAGTAACATAAATAGAGGGAACAAATTCTACCCGCACCCACATTTTGGAAATGTTACGGTTTAAGATTTCTTGGAATCCTTGCATTTTAGGTATATACAGGGTGAGATAAAAAAACTGCAAAAAAGTCGAATGCCATAATTTTTACATTTTTTTAATTTTATTGAATGGAAGCAAAAAATGTCGGAAATAGCATCAAATTTTAGAATAAGATTAGATTTTTCGAATTGGTCACCTTTTGCACGAATTATGGTCCTCAAACGGCCAATGAAACGGTCACACGCTGCCCGAATGTTGCTCTGCGGTATTTTGGCCAATCCCGTGCTCAACATTTTGGTATTTTTTGGTGCCAACCTTGCTTTCCAAAATACTGCGGACACAATAGTCAAACGGATTTGTATTCGGAGATGTTGGTGGCCATTGAGCGCTGGAAATGAAGCGAGGATCCTCATTTTGTAACCATTCTTGGGTGGCGCGTGCTGAGTGCGATGGCGCTGATTCCTGTTGGAATGCTTTAATACACCCTCCAGAATATTTTATCGATAGTATTCGGCATTTAGTCTGATGCCACGGCCGGCTGTGTCGCCCCACACAATCACCATGGCCGGGGCTTGAGTTCTGTTGGCCAACCAGAGGTGCACATTTTCAGCTGACCTCTTTGGCAAGTAAACACGATCATGTTTGTTTACAAACTGCTGGACAACGAATGTTTTCTCATCGGAGAAAACCAAATTCGGCAGTTCACCACTTTCGGCCAAGCGAAGCAACTCTTTAGCTCTTTTGAGTCTATTTTCTTTCTCTTGCGGTGTTAGTTCTTGCACTTTTTGGAATGGCTTTACACCGAGCTCTTATTTCAATATTTGCCAAATGGAATATTGCGATATGTTCAGCTCACGAGCAATTTTTCGCCCACTGCGACGCGGATTTCGATCAAGTCGCTTCTTTACTTTTTGAACTATTTCTGCTGATGTTGTCGTTTTCTTCCATCCAATTCCTTGACTTCGGGCTACGCTACCAGAATCACGATAACGAGCGATGGTACGAGGCACAAAAGATTTATTCACATTTAAATGCTGCAGTGCTCTAACGATAGCCACTTGCGGTTTTTCAGCCAAATATAAAGAAATCACACTATCACGCTTGAATTCCATTACGAATAACTTTTTTTCTGGAAAACTCTCACTAAAATGCTTTTGCACGCTTATAAACCATATATTGAGCTGTCACTAGAATAATTTTAACAGCTGTAGGACGAGTGGCTTAGAAATGACAGCAGTCTGAAGTTGGTTGCAGTTTTTTCATCTCATCCTGTACAATTCTGAAATTTGATTTTAATATTGAGATATGAATGTGGTTTTGGAAATGTGTACTAAATTATGCAAAAAGTACTAAATGTTAGTAAATTTGGTATTGAGTGAACGTATAGAGCTGGAATATCCATGTTTGATATTAAGGTCTCTGTTGGTGTCAAATCATTCATATATTTAGGTACAATATTTTTTAAAGAAAAATACCATGATGATTTGTCGGACAACTTTGCATAAATATACATATATACAATATAAAGCCGTACTTTAAACTCATAATGTGTTATTAGTATTTATGAATTCCTGACGTAAGATTTAGACTGTTCATGTATTTTGTGGCCTGTGGTGGACTTTCTGACAAATATGTCTGTGGAATATGTTGACTTACAACGATCCCCTATATAAGAAGTTTTTAACCTTATTTCAAAATAAAAGGGCCAAATAGTCACATTTGGTTAATCATTTGAGAGTCAAATTTTATGTAAAGTTCTAAGAAATCCCAATCCGAAACTTTCAGTAATTCCCCTCAATATTCCATTATTGAAAATTTCGGATTGGGATTCCTTAGAATTTTCCATAAAATTTGACTCTCAAGAGAGTAACCAAATGAGCATTTTTATACCCTACACCACAAGGTGGTCAGGGTATTATGCCTTTGTGCATTTGTTTGTAACAGGCAAAAGGAAACGAGATAGACCCATAGTTCCTTTTGATGATCTGCATAGAATCACTTTCTGAGTTGATTTATGCATGTCAGTCCGTCAGTCCGTCCATCCGCCTGTCCATGTATTTTTGTAAACAAAGTACAGTTCTCATTTATTGCCCTATCCAAATGAAATTTTGCACAAATCATTTGTTTGGCCCAAGGACGAACCCTATTGAAATTGGAGATAATCGGTCAAAATTTAGATATAGCTCCCATATACATATTCGTCCGATTTGCCTTTTATTGTGCACCAAACGTGTAATATCAGCCCGAATAGTATGGAATTTTGTACATACAACCAAATTAGGCCTGAAAATAAGTATGCCAAATTTTATCGAAATCGGTTCAGATATAGCTATAGCTCCCATATATATTGTTCATCCGATTTGTTATTTTTGTCCTCCGCAGCCGTAATATGCACTCTGTAACAACAATATTTGGGGAAATATATCTAATGCAGCTCAGAAATACGTTTGCTAAATTTTATCGAGATCGGTTCAGATTTGGATATAGCTCCCACATATAACTTCGTGCGATTTACCTTTTATTGTGCACCAAACGTCTAATATTTGCCCAAATGGGATGGAATTTGGCACATACGACCGAATTAGGTCTAGAAGGTATCATGCCAAATTTGGTGAAAATCGGTTCAGACATAGCTATAGCTTCAATATATATTATTCATCCGATTTGTTATATTTGTTACCCACAACCGTAATATGCACTCCGTAACAACGACAGGGAAATATAGCAAATGCTGCTCAGAAATATCTTTGCTAAATTTTA